TATTCTTGGAGTGAACCCAGTTCCCTGCCTCTTTCCCCATTATGCTCAAACAGCCTTTGTATGTGTCTAGTGAACTCAGGGACAGTTTGGGTGATTTAGGTGAAAATGTTTTAATGGAGACCTTTAGGGAATGGAGAGATGGCTCAGTGGTTAAAAAAAATGGTTACCATTTGATAACAGGTATGTGGTGTGTGTGTGTGTGTGTGCGCGCTCGCGAGCACGCGTGCATGCACACTCCAGTTGGGGGTATTAAGGTGAAGGAATACGGTCTATGAAATGGATTGTCTGGCTATGTCACCTTTCTGTGTTAACTGATGACTACAAACAGACATTTTTGCTTTGTTCTTAGAAGGCAAAGCTGCCAGGCTTGGCCCTTAATTAGGTGTGAAGTTAGCTTGTAGGTATCTCTGCTAGGTATAACTAACACACTTAGGTAACAGAGCTTACAGACTGATAAACAATGTCTCTCTCTCTCTCTCTCTGGTTTTTCGAGATAGGGTTTCTCTGTGTAGTTTTGGAGCCTATCCTGGCACTCACTCTGGAGACCAGGCTGGCCTCGAATTCACAGAGATCCGCATTCCTCTGCCTCCCAAGTGCTGGAATTAAAGGGATGCACCACCAACGCCCAGCTAATAAGTCTCTCTCTTTGTGAGTGTCTGCGTTTGTGTGGTATTGAGTTTTGAACATGCTAGGCAAGTGCTCTGCACTGAGCTATACCAAAATTTTAAATATATGCTTTAAGGTTTTAAAAAAAATTATTTAGGAGCTGGAGAGATGGCTCAGCAATGAGGAGCCCTGGCTGTTCTTGCAGAGGACCTGGGGTTCATTTTCCACTGCCTACATGGCAGACCACAACCACCTGTAACTCCAGTTCAGGGGATCTGATGTCTCCTTCTGGCCTCCTCACATGGTGAACAGACATGCATGCAAGCAAAACACCCAAATACGTAGAAATAAATACATTTTTAAAAGTGTGTGTGTGTGGTGCGCACACTCACATGCCTGTGTGAGTCTGTTTACCCTGTGTGCAGGAGCTCACAGAGATCAGAAGACAGTGACTGGTGCCCTGGAGCTGGGATTACAGGGGGTTTTGAGCCACCTTATGGATGCTGGGGTCCAAATCCTGGTTGTCTGCAAGAGCAGTGTGCAGTCACCCTCATACTCTAGAGAACACCTTAGTTTGGAGCCTAGAAGCCGACAGCCAGGAGCTGGTGGCACATGTCTGCAACCGCAGCTCTCAAGAAGCTGAGGCAGGAGTTTTAGGTTTGAGTCTAACTCCACCAGCAGGGCTTCTGGAAGCACCATTCTATTTCTAAACTGCTGAGAATTCTTACCGTGAATGAAGGCTGAGCTGTGTCTAGTGAGTTGAGTGTAATTTCATCGGATCATGTAGCTTTTTCTTCCTTAAAATGGGTCACATTGATTGTTTCCAGTACTTTGAGATAGGGCATTATTTTAATTTATTGTCAGATTCAGTTTGCTGATATTTTGTTGAGTGTTATGGAAAACATTCACAAGGCATATTGCTTTCTTTAAGTATTAGTTTAATTTCATGTGTGTATGTATATGCACTACACATGTGCACAGCCCATGGAGGAAGCCATTGGCTCCCCTGGAACAGGAGTTACACACGGCTGTGAGCCCCGTGTGCGTGCCGAGGACTGAACTCCTCCACGAGAGAGCCACCTTTACAGCCCCAAGGTACGTGGCTTCCTTTCCTTATAATGGCTTAGGCTTTAGCTCCAGACCAGCCCTGGCATCGTGACATGCACCTCGTCTCTCTTCTATGTTTTGGAAAGAGCGTGTGCAGAATTTGTGTTTGTTCCCTCGCTTGCTTGGGTAGAAGAGCTCATCACAGAGGCATCTGAGGTGCCTCTTCAGAGGGCGGGAAGCTGTGAATGAGATTTCTCTGCAGGTTACTGTCTGCCATAACTGATGTTCCCCAAAGTGCTGCATTTCACCCAAGCCCTGAGCTTTTGTGGGTGCAGGCGGACGAGCCTGCTCTGTCCTTTGATCTGCACACACCCCCTTCCTCACTCCTGCCACTGATAATCTTTGACCTCTCTGTCTCCTGTCAGTCTTCCTGAGGCTTATGCATTTTGTTGATTATTACCAGTCTCGCTAGAGACGTTGATCTAGTCATAGAGCTCTCTCTGTCTCATTGATCTCTCTCCATGGTTTTCCTGTTTTCAGTACAAATGATTCCTACCTTTAACTTTCTCGTCTCCCTTCTTTGTCCATCGGTGTCTTAGTTACTTTTCCATTGCTGTGATAAGACACCTTGAGCAAGGCTTATTTGGAGAGTTTATTTGGGTCTTACAGTTTCAAGGGGTTCATCTACCACCATCATGGCAGGGAGCATAGTAGCAGGCAGGCAGGCAGGCAGGCACTGGTGTGCGAGCTGAGAGCTTACATCTCATTCACGAGAGAGAGAGAGAGAGAGAGAGAGAGAGAGAGAGAGAGAGAGAGAGAAAGAGAAAGAGAGAGAGACGCAGACACAGAGGACAGAGAGAAAGGAGAGACAGAAAGGAAGCACGCACATGAGAGAGTTAACTGAGAATGGTGGGGGCTTTTAGAATCTCAAGGACCACCCCCAGTGACGCACTTCCTCCGACAAGGCCCCACCTCCTAATCCTTCCCAAACAGTTCCACCTACTGAAGACCAAACATGGTTGTCTGCAACCTGGGGCCATTCTCATTCACACCACCGTAGCTGGATTTATTTCTGTCTCAGGTGGCATCTTCAATCACTAATATGAGATTTTTTTCTTTTAAATTTTGCTTATTTAGTGAGACAAGGTCTCACTCACTGTGTTGTCCTGGGTGACCTGGAACTTGCTATATAGATCAGGCTGGCTTCAAACTCATAATTTTTTATTTATTATCAGTGGTGTGTGTGTGTGTGTGTGTGTGTGTGTGATGTATGTGTGTTTGCATGTGCATATATGTGTATGTGTGTACGTGTGCACATGTGTGTGTTTCTGTGTATGAGACAGAGATTGAGGTGTGTGTGCAGAGGCCAGAAGAAGAGTAGCATTTGATGAGAATTTTCTTCAGACAACATAAATTCTCATGTTTATAGTCATTTCTAAATTATTTGTGTCCTTCCCAATTTGTTTTTTAATTGATATATTTAAAATATTCATACTTAATTCAATATTTGTATTTAATAGGTGATATATTTGGATTTAGGATTAATTTTTTATTTGTTTTTTGTTTTTTCCCCTCTGACTTATAGTTCTATTTTCCTTTCCTTTTTTTTTTTCTTTAGGGTTATTTGAATACATTCTATTATTGTACTTAATTTATACATTGTGGACTTGATTACTTGAATTTTTATTGCACTTATTATTTTATGTGTGTGCACTCATATGTACATGTGTGGAGGTCATAGAATAACTTTTTTTTTTTTTTTTTTTTTGGTTTTGGTTTTTCGAGACAGGGTTTCTCTGTCTCTTTGGAGCCTATCCTGGAACTCACTCTGTAGACCAGGCTGGTCTCGAACTCACAGAGATCTGCCTGCCTCTGCCTCCCCAGTGCTGGGATTAAAGGCGTGCACCACCAATGCCTGGCCATAGAATAACTTCGGGGAACTGGTTCTCTGCTTTACTGTGTGGGTTCCAGGGACTGAGCCCAGGTCCTCGGGTCCGGCAGTTAGGGCTTTTCCCTGCTGAGCCAGTTCACAAGCCCCGCCTCTTTTTCTTTTATTATTAGTTAGCATATATATATATATGCCAATATATATCCACTTTTTTGGTAGTTAACATCCTTGTCCAAGGTGTTTGGAACCATAAATGTTTCAGATCTTGGATTTTTTTTTCCATTTTAGAACATTTGTACAAGATATATTGGAATGGGGTTGGAGAGATGACTCAGGTTAAGAGCGCTGGCTGCTCTTCCAGAGGTCCTGAGTTCAATTCCCAGCAACCACATGGTGGCTCACAACCATCTGTAATGAGATCTGGTGCCCTCTTCTGGCCTGCAGGGACACATGCAGACAGAACACTGTGTACATAATAAGTAAACCTAAAAAAAACAAAAAACAAAAAACAGATATATTGGAATGAAACCCAAGTATAAAGGCAAATATACCTTGCGATTCTAGCCGAATGTAATTTTATACAGAATTTTTAGTATGCTGTGCTTTCACTCTGACCTGTTACACAGGTGAGATGTCGAGTTTTTCCATCTGTGGCATCCCATTGGGGGCTCAGAGAATTTTGCATCTTGGAGTACTTTGGGTTTGGAATTTGGGGATGAAGGAGATATGCCCTGTTTTTCTTTGCACTGGAAAGCATGGCTTTTCTTGGGTGGGACAGAGAACCATTGTGTTTTTCATGCCACAAATAAATTCATTTCTTATCAAATATTACCAGAGATAATAATTACCTGCTTCCTCACCTAGATGCCCCTCAACCAAAGAATGGATAGAGAAATTGTGGTACATTTACACAATGGAGTACTACTCAGTGGAAAAAAAACTATGGCATCTTGAAACTTGCAGGAAAATGGATGGAACTCGAAGAAACCATTCTGAGCGAGGTAACCCAATCACAAAAAGGCAAACATGTATTCACTCATATGTGGATTTTAGACATAGAGTAAAGGATTACCAGCCTACAATCGACACTGCCAGAGTAACTAGTAAACAAGAAGGACCCTAAAAGAGACAAACTTGTCCCCTGGAGAAGGGGAAGGGGTCACTATCCCTTGAGCAAATTGAGAACATGGGATGAGGGGGGAGGGAGCTATGAGAATGAGAAGGGAAGAAGAGGAAGGATGCAGAGGTCATGAGGGAGCAGAAAGGTTGAGTCAGCTGTAGATTAGAAGAAAGGACATGTGATTGGTAGGGTTTTAGTTGGGGGGTGGTAGGGGAGGAAAAGAGGGAGAAGGGAACTGGGATTGTCATGTAAATCAATCTTGTTTGTAATTCAAATTTAAAAAAGGAAAAAAATAATTACCTGCTTCTTTGGTAACTGCTATGAAATTCAGAACAACTTTTATTTGTAAACATCTTTAAAACAAAGTTCATATAAGCAAATGCTAATATTTCAAAAAAAATTTTGGAACAATCCATTGACACGTGACATTTAATGGGCATTTAAAACATTTCCTTCTACATTGGATTCTCTCCTGTAAAGCTAAAAAGCAAGTTCTTCTTTTTATCCATGAGGGTGCCTGTTAGGGTTGGAGGGTAAGAGACACAGCCCATCTGTCTTTTTTCACTCCTCCCACTCAGTGTGCTAACCTCTTCGGCAGAGCAGGACCATGGGAACAATAGAAACACTGGGTTTTCTAAAACTGCGCTCTGTAAAGGATTGATTGGTGACTTGACAAAAACTACATCTGCTTGACATTCTCTGGAGAAATGCACAAGGCCACACAGAAAAATATCCCCTACTTCCAAGAGGTCAGCCCATCTTGTTTCTGCTTTGTCCTGGGGACTAAAATGACCTTCTTATGAGACACTGCAAGGACCAATTTTCCTTACTTGCTTTTTGGACAGGATTTCTCTATGCAGCACCCACTGTCCTAGAGTACACTGTGTAGACCAGGTTTGCCTCCTGAGGCCTGGCATTATAGATGTACAACACCAAGTCGGCTTGCCTCTCTGAAGGTATGACAATTCTCTTAAAGAGCCCCCAGAACCGCAGTTTTTCTAAGCAGGCTTAATGATATATATACCTTTTTACATTTGTTTATTTCTGTGTGGATGAGTGTTTTGTTCTCATGTGGGTATGTGTACCATGGGCATGCCTGGTGCCCTTAGGAGTCAGAAGAGGTCATGGTTGTGAGCCATCGAGTAGGTGCTGGGAACTGAACTCCGGTCTTCAGCAGGTGCTCTTAACTGCTGAGCCATCCCTCCAGCCACCAAGTGTGAATTTTAAGAACATTTTTTGGCAGTCCCATGATCACATTTACCTTCCACCACCTTCCCACCCTCCCTGCAACCCCAGCCTTGCGCGGCTGTCACAGCTGCTGTGTTGATGATTGTAGTGGTCAAGTCATACCCAGGTGACAGAGTCCCACTGCACTCTTCCACAGACTTTCCACCCCGTCTTCCACAGTGTTCCTGGGCCTCAGGGAGGGTGACATAGATGTCCTGTTTGGGACTGAGTGCTCAGCAGTCACTTCATCTCAGCACTTTGGTCCCTTTATGAGTCCCTACTTTAATCACTTCCAAAAGAGGCTTCTCTGGCCAAGCCTGAGAGCCCCCCCCCCCCCCCCATGCATTCAGGCAAGCACAAACGATGAGAAGGCAGCTTAATTCCGTGTGTCTCCTTGGTGTAGCATTAGTAGAAGGTCCTCCCAAGGGCCCTGTGATTTCCTTCCCTAGCTATAGCGGTAGTTCAATGACAGCACCGACTCTGTCATCCCTTCTGTGAAGTAGGCCTTAAATCCAAGCTGGCAAGGGTTGGGTCCCCCAGAACATTCATACCACCATGGTCCTGCTGTGGGTCTCTAGCCGGGCAGATCAGTACTGCAGAGTGCTGGGTGGGGTTGTTAGTGACGTTTCTTCCCTGGCAGCCTGCATAGTACCATCCAGCTCTGTGATGCCAGACAGAGGGGAAGGAGCTCAGCTCCAGCTTGGTTTCTGTGTCCTGTATCCAGAGTGTGGGTGTCTTCAGCAATCAGCTCTTACTGTCCAGTTCTGCAGGGCATACGAGAGCAATGGGGATGGACTGTGTTGTGTCAGGGGCTGTCTGCAGGCTTCCTCACCAACAGCCCATGGGGCAGTATCCTGTTGTTGTTGTCATTTTTTTTTTATTCTTTGTTCTTTGGGCTCTTTTGGGGGCCTGCCACCCAGCTCCCAAATAAATCACACATGGAGACTTAATTCTTATTTACAAATGCCCGGCCTTAACTTGGCTTGTTTCTAGGCAGCTGTTCTTAAATTATTATCCCGTATACCTTTTGCCTCTGGACTTTTACCCCTTTCTATTTTGTATATCCTTTCTTTCCTCTTTTTCTGCAGCTGGCTGTGTAGCTGGGTAACTGGCCCCTCAGTCCTCTTCCTACTCTTGCTCCTTGCTTCCCCAGCACCCTTTTTCCTCCTATTTATTCTCTCTCCTGCCAGCCCCACCTGTCCTTTCTCCTGCTTTGCTATTGGCCGTTCAACTCTATTAGACCATCAGGTGTTTTAGACAGGCAAAGTAACACAGCTCCACAGAGTTAAACAAATGCAGCATACAAGAATGGGACACATCTTTGCATTATTAAAACAAATATTCTGCAGCATAAACAAATGTAACACCTCTTAAAATAATGTTCTACAACAGTATCCCTCACTTGGCAAGAGGGTTTTGGATCCCAGTGACTTCTGGGAGCAGTACTGATGGCTCATGCAGTTTCTCCATCCAAATATCGCCTTAAATTTTTTTAAGTTAGCTTAGTTATAAGGGAGTGGGTTTCTAAGTATTTTTTGCATAGTGCTAATTTTTGTTGACTTTCCTTTAGCCCCTCTGCCCCCTAGTTTTATCCCCTTCTACTTCCAAGTGAGAAAAACACGGAGTACCCCACAAATGTCGCCTTGTGCAGGAGCCATGCCGGTCTTCTTTGTTTTGTTCCAATTTCACTGTTTGTGCTGCAGAAGCAGATATGGAAATGGGAATTTTTGTATGATGTTTAGGCATCTGAGAAGGCAACCACGGTACGAATCTTGGGATTTCCTGAAGTCTTTCTTCAAATCTCTCTTCAGGTCTGCAAGCGGTCTGTGGTAAGAAAACCTGGAGGCTCACAGGGTCCATGGTCTCCTGCCTTCCTTTTCATTTGGTTTGGTCACACGCTTGAGAGGGTTTTTAGTTTTTAGTCTGAGACGGGCTCCCTAGGCCACCTTGACTGGCTTGGAATTTTCTATGTAAAATGGTATGGCCTCAAACGCAGAGCTCCACCTGCCTCTGCATCCTGATTACTGGGATTAAAGGCGTGCGCCACTGTGCCTGGCCTTTCTTGAGTTTTACTCAGAACCGATACAATACTACTTCCAGTATGATCCGTAAAACCTCTGCCATCTGCGGTGTTCTCTTTTCTTCCAGGCCGGCTGGGAAGATGAGTCCCAGGAGAACCGTGGAAACCCCATGTTGCACAAGGGCGGGGCCTCCATCTCTTCCCCTTCCCTGACCGGCTGCTCTGCCAGCTTCTTCACATGTTCTTTACTGTTTTTTGAGCAAGAAATGAACTTCTGCTGGGTCTGTTGGCATGCTTTTCCGTATCTGTGGGCCATTTGGATCTTTTGTACTCTGTAGTAGCACTTACTTGGATATTAATAGTCATACACTCTAAGTGATTTCCCGGTTTCTTATTATATTTGAAACTTTTAAGATGGTGTCTTTGTTATTTTTACCTTTATGAAGCATCTGCCAATCTTTTGTCTTCACCCTGAGACAAATCTTCCTACTTCAAGGTTGGACATACAGCCTCTTCATTTTCTTCTGCATACAAATGTGTGGACAAAGCAGAGACAATCAAGGTCCAGCCAGCTCTCAGCCCTCCCTCAGTCAGCACCCAGCCAGACTTGAAACCCAGCTTGCCTTGGGATTGAGTGTAGTCGTGCTTTTAACAGAGCTCTGCCGAAAGGAGTGTGTCGAGAATAGAAAGGCAGTGTTTGGGGCTGGCCTGGCTCGTATACTCCTCTCTGTTGTCTGACTGGGAGGCTGACGAGTCGTCTGCTGAAGATGGAGGGACCTGGATATGGAAATAACAGGAGCAGACATTGGTGCCTTACACACCGCGGTGAAGGCGAATGGTAGCCATTGCTGCTTTCGGCACACCTTGTTTTTTCGCCAGTTCTGAAAGTGACACAGAGGATGACAAAAGCTCGGATTGCAGAAGATGGATGAAAGCCATTTTAACCAGCACAACAGTTTGCGGCTACGAGAACGGCTCCGTGAGTGTAGAAGCCGCCAATCACCAACCATGCGGTCACGATGCATCTAACGAGACTGGGCACTAATGGCCCTGGGAACAATGAGGCAAATTACCAAGTTCCACTAAAATGTTTCTCCACTTATCTTCAATTATTCAGACCCAATCTAATTTCCTTCAAAATTAAATGCGGTGGCTCCAGTTAACTTGTGCGACTGAACGTTTAACAACTGTCCCTGCACGTGACTTTGCTGAGAAAGGACGGGCAGGCTACTCCACATCGGCTCTGAAACACAGCAGTTCCCTGGACATGTTAAGACAGCGGGTCACAGAAGGCGCATAGCTGGGCATTGTCCCCGAATGCTAAGACTTAAGGAGTCTCTAAACTACCCTCTTCCCAACTGTGCTGCCCTCCAGCCATCTAACCGCTTCTTCAGCAGCTGCCCCAAGCTCCTGGCCACTTTTGTCTAAACAACTAGGTACCTGGACACAGACAAAGCAAAGACCTGAGGTGAAAGTCTGGGAGGACAGAGCACTTAGGAGTAACGATGCACATTCGGTTTTCACAGGCAGCTGTCACAGAGCTGTCACCCACAGCTGGATGTCGGGGAGGGGGGCGCACTTCTGGGATCTACATCCAGGAGCCAGGCACAGCTAGTTGTCAGGGAAGAACGGTGAATAGCTTGGTGCTCCTCCCAGCTGGGCTTCTGTGGACGTTAGGGGCCACTGACCTGAGTGCCTCCTAGTTCTCCTCTCCTTCTTTATCTCCTGTTGCTTTTTCTGTAACCTGCTCTTTCCTGGTCTCTTTGTTGCCCTCTGGGGTCCCAGCTGCATTATCATCTGTCTTTGGAAAAATTGCATTTAGTAGAACCAGAACTGTCCCATTTAATAGTGTTCCCGTGGGAACAACCCGCCTTAATGAAGTTATGAGTGTTTTGGGTGGTGTGACTTTTTCTTCAGAGGGCATGAGTTGATCTCATCAGAAGGGACGATCTACTTGTTTTAGTCTTCAAAGGCCTGTGCAGCCCTCACACGCAGCCATTTCTCTGCTTTCTATGGAAGAGGCCCACACTAAATGAATAATTGCAAGTCATTTGGCATTAGATTAACATTATGATTTATTTTATCAATTGCTATTAGTTTGTACTTGCAGTATTTCCCTAGAGTACACAACAAACTCTTCTAAGTCCAACTAGAGACACCTAGGGCTGGAGATGAAGCCAAAGGGAAATGAAGACCGTTCCCAAAGTAAAAAATTCAACATGCAGTCAGTCAGTACGCACTGCTGTCTTCCTGTAGCCAGCCAAAGAGAGTTTCGAGGGTTTTGGTGTGGAGGTGCCAGCTTGTAACCCCGACTCAGGATCCAGGGCACAAGATTGCCTTTAGTTCAGACCCAGGCGTGTCACCCTAAGGAGCCCAGCAAGGGCTGCACAGCAAGACCTCATCTGAGAAAACAGACAAACAAACAAAGAAAACCAGAGGAAACAGCATAAAGAATTGGGGAGGACCAGCAGCCCTGGCTTCCCGCTGGACGTACTGTGCCTTTTGGTGGCCAAATGCCCTTTGTCCAGTGTGGAACTTTGTCAACCATGGCCACTGCTGTGATGGCTCACAGTGTGCCAAGAACAATACTTAAGACCTCTACAGGGTTTATCTCATTTAACCCCCATGGGACCTGCTGTGTCTGTTTTCAAGAGGAGGTTCAGAGAGGTTGATTATCCCACCCAAAGTCACATGACCTCTCGTGACCTCAGCTTTGAAGATCTGCTGCCTGTCTTCTTCTTCCTCTTCCTTCTTCTTCTGCCCTTCTGGTTTTCTGAGACAAGGTCTTACCTGTAGCCCAGGCTGTCCTGGAACTCACTATGTAGACCAGGTTGGTCTCAAACTCTCCTGGGTGCTGGAATCAAAGGCGTGCCACCATGCCCAGCTGCTTGCGGCTTGTGTTCCTAAATCACCCTCCCTCCCCCACACCATTGCCTCTGGTGAAGACCGACTGTCAGGCCACGATTTCTTTGTAGAAAAATAAACTGGGAACTTCTGGGCATTTAAAAAGTGGATCTGAGTGCCACGTTGGATGTGAAGAAAGCCAGAGTTGTTATGGTTGTGTTCCCCGGCCTGAGAAATGAACTGGCTCCTTTCACCAGGACGGTCTGAGGAACAATGAAGCTACAAACGGTACCGGACACATGTAAACACAGTTTTTGTTTGTTTTTTCTTCTGTGAGAACCTCACACTGTAGATCTGGTCTGGGTCTCGCTGCGTAGCCCAGGCTGGCCTTAAACTCTTGAAAATCCTCCCACCACAGCCTCCCAGGTAGGAGGCTAAGTATAAAAGGCAGAATAACTTTGTGTGGCTGTGATCTGATCCCAGGGCCTGGCTGTGGGTCTAATTCTCCAGGGTTGCATATCCCCTTTGCCCGTGCCTCGCCCCCCCCCTCCTGCCTGCACGCATGTGGTGCACCACTTCCTGCAGTGCCCAGAGGAGACATCTGCTTCTCTGGGCAGGGCTTACAGATGGTTGTGAGCCGTCATGCCGTCATGTGGGTGTTAGGAATTGAACCAGGGTCCTCTGGAAGAGCAGCCCTTAACGGCTCTAATCACAGAGCCATCTCTTCAGCCCCCACTGATGTGTTTCTTGCTCTATGTCTCTGCTAAGAGGTTGCTCTGGTAGTAATCCCTGCAGCCCCCAGTCAACTGCCTACACACACCTCTGTCCTAAGACAGGAAGCTGTAGTTAGGCTTTCTAGACATCGAAACCATTTTGTTCTTGTCTTCCGAGTTCATTCAATGCCCTGCGCTTGGCAGGCCGCTGCCTACACACACCTCAGTCCTAAGACAGGAAGCTGTAGTTAGGCTTTCTAGACATCGAAACTATTTTGTTCTTGTCTTCCGAGTTCATTCAATGCCCTGCGCTTGGCAGGCCCTCTGTCCTCTGGCCCTCCAGGTATATTGCCAAAAACTCGGTGTCATTTGACCCCATCTGTGACCTTTGGCACACCCCAGTTTGTGTCCTCTGAGGGAAACTCCTCAATACAAATTCTTTGTTTGGTCCTAGCATCTGCCCCGTTTCTCACCTGCCTTTATACTGCTGAATCTTTAACTTAGTCACAAAGGTCAGCAACTATTCCGTGTCAGTCATAGCAGCCAAGAGCAATGTTTACTAAAGTCAATTTTTTTCCTTCCAGACTTTAATGTTGTGCATGTGTGTGCGCCTGTGTGCTTGTGGAGGCCTGAGGCTGATGTTGGGTGTCTTCCTCCACGACTTTCCACCTTATTTACTTATGTTTCTTAGGCTCTTCCTGAGCCGAGTTCACCAACTGGCTAGACAATCTGGTCCCAAGCCCCAGGTCTGCATGTCTCTTCACAGACTCCACTGACGTTGCAGACCAGGGCTGCATCTGGCATTTGTGTGGTGCTGGAGGCCTGAACTCAGGTTCCCGTACTTGGCAGGCAAGCATATTCCCACCTGAGCCATCTCTTTAGCACTTTCTTTTAAATGCTAAATGCAATTTATTTTCTAACACATACATAAAACATACCAGTACACATGGTCACGGGATAAAGTTGTATCTTGATACATGTCTGTCTGTTTTCCAGGTGTTTGAAATGCACAACATATTATACCCATCTGTGGTCATCAGGTTTCTGGCAGTGAACTCTCCTAGTCCCTATGAATTAGCTGCTCAACAGCCTGAGAGAGCCACCACCCTCCCCTCAGCTGCCATGAGAGCAGACCTCTCAGGTGTGCCTGAGGGCCTGCAGCAGTTACCTTTCTGTACCTGACTTAGATTCCAGCCAGGTTGTTAGAAATGACAGGGACACTTTTTTTTTTTGTAATTTTTTTTCTTTGTAATTGAATTGCATTCCAGTGTGTGTGTGTGTGTGTGTGTGTGTGTGTGTGTGTGTGTCCGTCCCACTCCCCCCACTTTGGTTTTTCAAGACCGGGTTTCTCTGTATAGCCTTGGATATCCTGGAACTTGATATGAAGACCAGATTAAAGGCTTGTACCACCACCTGCCTCTGCTTCCAAGTGCTGGGATCAAAGGCATGTACCACCACTGTCCAGTTACTTATTTGCTCTTAAAAATACCTTTGTTAAAGTCTTAGGAATGCAGTTGGCTGTGTTTTCCAGGTGGGCTCTATCATTAAGGAGCAAGGTGGGGCTGTCATACTGGCTCAGGGGGTAAAGGTGACCACTGCCAAGTCCAACAATCTGGGTTAGGTCCCTAGAACTCGAGGCAGGAAGGTGAGAACGAGCTCTCTTTTGCTGTCCTCTGACCTCCACACATGTACCCCGGCATGAATGCACATAAAATAAATAAAATAAGAATAAAAAGGAAGCAAGGTTGGTATAAGGCAGGAAGGTGAGAACCAGCTCTCTTTTGCTGTCCTCTGACCTCCACACATGTACCCCGGCATGCATGCACATAAAATAAATAAAATAAGAATAAAAAGGAAGCAAGGTTGGTATTGATGGTTTTGTCTGGCCCTTAAGTTTATGTTAGAGTTTTTCCTGGCATTTTTTTTTCCTGGAGTATCATAAGCAAACAACAAATAAAAGGGGCAAAATGTTTGGTGATCAGAAAATAGTCTCCAAGGACCATGCTCTCCTGCTGCAGTTCTGCAGTTTGTTTGCAGCTGAAGGCTGATGGTTTGTGCAACCAGCCTCTGAATTCAGCACAGAAGTGAATGATTGGGCTTCAAAGTGGCATTGATTAATTATTGCAGAAATTTCAATCAGAGATAGCAGTTTGAATTTCCCTTCGCTACTTCTGTTTCAGAGGCCACGTGACCCTTTGAGAGTCAAGATGAAACAAAACTGACTTTGATTAGTTTCAAAGCATTGCTCTGGTCTTCTCTACACCCTCCAAGTCCAGGGCCTGGCAAATATCCTTCATTAAGCAAACAGGCATGTGCTGCCAGCCCTGTTCCTCTACTGGGGAGGGCAGTGGACAGACAGCAGAAAGCAGCTCTTGTTTCTTTGCATCAGTTGATGTGAACTTACCACAGGCTCTCTGATTCTATCCAGACAGCGTTTTGTAACACGAAAAATAAAAGACCCAGAGACTGATATTGGGGTTCAAGCTTCAAGCTGAAGATCAGAAAAACAAAGCAACTGGCCACTAGCTCTCACCTCTAGCTCAGGCTGAAAGGGCTGATCCACATACGAGCTCTTCACCAAGTCTCAAACTGCTGCCTCTCCTCAGCGTGGCTGGAGAACGAATGCCTCTCTGAGACCTTGCATCTGTCTTATATACTTCCCTAATGTTGGGATTAAAGGTGTGAGCTATAATTCTCTTTTAGACTGATTCACTGTTGTGTAGATCTGGGTGGCCTTGGACTCAACAGAGATCCGGCTACCTCTTAATCGTGAGTCCTAGGATTTAAGGTGTGTGCCTGGCTTCCGTGGTTTGTGGTTGACTTTGCTTTCTGAATCCTCAGGCAAGCTTTAATAAGTCATAAACAATACCTCACCACAGAATTTCCTTTTTCTTGCAGAAAACACACAACAATGGGGTCCATGGCATTTTCAGAGAACTGGTGTGGTTCTTGTTGGAGAAATTCTCTCTCAAAACAAGAGTCCAATGGCTGAGACTCTTGGTGATAAATAGCTTGCTGTGACAGAGGAACCATCCTGCTCCCCCACCCCCGTGGTAAGAAAGACATGCATTTCTGAGAGCATTGTGAAATGATTTAGTTTCCCAATACATTATCGTGAATTAGTGAAATTGGTTATGGACTTAATTATGCTTTTCTAAAAAAATGTTTTTAGTCTGCTCTCAAACATTTTGAAGTGGACCTTGATTACAGTTACCAAATTGTATGTGAGTGCCCTGCGCTCATCACGGAAGGGCCACAGGTGGAATGTAGCGGGGCTGGAAGGGAGGGTAATGGAAAAATCCACGGCTTGTGTTTGCTACTTAAATGTCATGGTCGGGTAAATGGATTTCTCTACTTCCCGGGACCGCTTCTGCTGCATTAGCCGGGCAGCAATTAGTGGGACGAAATCGCCCAGGAAATGGGCTTGCTCGACCACGTGGTTCATCTTTTTATTGTGCAAAACAGAAGAAATTGCTTCTAATCAATCCACTTCAACTTTCAGTCGGAAAATTATTTACCATCCCATCAGCTGAAGTACCGAAGACATGTTCTGTTTGAATTAACTGGGGGAAGAGGGACTCGTGTCAGTCAGCGGGCTGCGATGATGGCAGCCGCAGTCTCACGAGGCAGACAAGAAAGAGACAGCATTATCCCTGGCGTCCTCGCCCAACTGATTGGTGCTTTTAGGGTAATTAATCCTCGTTTCAAGTATAATTGGACTCTTATTGATCGAAGCAGCAACGTACGATGTGGCCCATGGAACACAGAAAGACAGACTTCCTTCCCAGCAGAACACGGTTAATTTGAACTCCAGATTTTTCGCATTTCATTCACACACTTGAGCAAGCCCCCTGCTTTGCAACTGATTTAGGCTGTAATGTTTTGTGAGCTTAGATGAGAATTTATTGTTATTTTTTCTTCAGGAACATAGATTATCAGGGAATTTTCACTGACTTCCGCTTTGCTTATCAGTTCAGGCACCAGCTTTCCAAAGCTGAGTGAGTCACGCTGCAATGTTCTAATGAATTTCAGATAGTGTGAATTAAACATTGACAAACATCTGAGAAAACAAAACTACGTGTGAATTACAAGGGTAGATACATTAAAATTGTGGTTTAACACAGCTACCTTCATTAAAGAAAAACAAAACAAAAAACCCTAACAGCTCAGGCTGAGCAGCTAGGGATGCTGTGTGAGCAGGAGCCAAAGGACCAGCGAAGGGGGTTTGTGGGAAGTAGCTCCTGAGGTTCATTCAGAGTCTGTGCTGGGACCTTTTGTGTGAGAAACTGTGCCTTCATGTCAGGGAAAGGCGCCTGGGCCATAGCTTCAGATGAGATACACAGTGTTTTTCTCTTCAAAGGCTAGAGATTACCACTGCAGCAAGAATGCAAATTTCTAAACAGATGATCATGACAGATGAGAACAAAAAGTTGAAATAAAAATTTTCAAGTTCTAATTACTCTTATCAGCTAAATCCAAATCATCTCAGTATGTGAGACACACACACACACACATACACACACACCCGCACACATGCACACGCACACGCACACACACATGCACACGCACACACAAACACATAGACACATGAATTTTTTATCTGTTTAGTGGCTGTACATAAATTTACTGATATTTTAAGTATCCTCTGCCACCCCACAGTCCCTCAGTCAGCACTCTGCTGACCACTTATGCCAAAGCCTGGTGGGACTTCTGGTCCAACCCCCCCAAAAAGATATCACCATGTATCCCCCCTTTTTTGTCTAAAATTTAGAAAAGGTTCTAACTAATATAAGAAAAACTATATACAATAAGTATAACTATATACAATATATATAGGCAATAAGTACATCAACAATGTCTAGTCCATCAGCATTTGACAAATTCAGAGAAAACACTCCATTATCTACTCTTTCTTGATGAGTCCAAAGTCTTGTACCTAATTTACTTTCTACTCTAATTTGCACTAACAGGTTATCTTCTAATGTCTTTCAAACCCTTTACACTTAACACATCTTTAGTGAGTTTCTTTACTGAGTCTGGTAAACAAGGAAAAGTATATCTCTATTATTGAGTCTTCTACTCCCAAAGAGACCAGAAAAGGAAGTAATATTAACTGAGTAAACAGGAAGTGCAGGCAAACGACTTCCGAAAAGTGTGAGAAATGACAGAAACTGCTGGCTGCCTGCACAGCCACCCAGGACTGCTCTGCCACACTGGAGCATCCATCTTTGGTCTATAGGCCGAGCATGTCTGACAGACGTTTCTGTGAACCAGGATATTCTGAAGGACAGGGCTGCCTTGTCTTGGCAAGGTTTGCAGTCACTGTTTTTCATGTTCTGCTAGTCCAATTTGGACAGAATACTCTCAGCAGTTGAGGCAAGGGCACTTTCTTGCCCAAGGGCTTACTTTTATCGCAAAGAACTCAAACTCCACATGGAGTTTCTTCAATGCCCATCATCTTCTCTGAAGTAGATTGTTGCTGCCAGGAGAAGACACGTCTCATAGTCATAAAACAAGAAACTCTGTTATTAAAACGTGTTAAATGCCATATTCTGTAAATCTCTGAATATTTGAAGACCATCTGTCTTTCTAAAATATCTGTTTAACCTTGTAAGCATACCTAATGTGACTACAAGTTCGATTGTAATAGTTGACTAATTACTAAACTACATTTCCTTATTATCCCATATAGTTGATAATAATAACTTTCAAGGACTAGAAATTTGTATTACATTGTTAAATGAGCTTTATAGGTACAATACCTTGAACAATATTAGAAACATGTGCGCAGTATGTTTTAGCAAAATTAATCTCAAATTTGTATCAATATACATTTGTATACAGTATATAAAAATCCAATCCAATGTAAAATATTTAAAACTAGTAGTTGCTTTTAAAGAGTAGATTCAATAATTTACCTTTTAATCTCATCATAATCTACCCTCCCTTTTTTCTTTTCAGGGTAGATTCAGTAATCTACCCTTTTTATACTATTATATCTAGATGCCTCTTATTTTCAAAACAAAAACCTTGAATATAATTCCATTTGTTCAAATTTCTTCCTGATCATAAACAACAACATTTTGTAACAAATCCCCCTAAACAATGACAAATATCCATAACGCAGCGAGTGACCAAAATCCACCCACCCTACCTCTTGAGAATGTGGGCACTGTGTTCTTAAAGTTACTTCCTGCTGTGGGGGGGGCAATGGCATCTTTAGGGGATCCTGAAAAGATAGTTTGGGTTAATTGTCAAGCTGTATCATTTGTTGTCCAGTCTCTGCATGATGGGCAAGTCCAAGGCTTCTTTCAAGTGCTGGCTAACGTAGTCTGTGAGGCAGGAACACCTCAGCAAGTCATCTCAAAATTGTCATGAGCAATTTGTGGTCCAAAGCTGATCTTTAGTTGGTGTTGTTCAGCATAATGGTGTTGTGATAGTCCTGGTGAAATTGTCGTTGTGGGGCCCCGTCCTCATTTGGAGACTTCAAAAGGTTGCTGTTAGGCGTGGCCATGGTTTACTGTAGAAAACTGATACTCAAACCAGAAATCATGTACAGGAAGGTAGACAAAACCCTTTTCTAGAATTGGTTAGTACTCTATATGACCATTAATATCATGACAAAAATTATGAGATTAGTAGCAATACAATAGTCCTAAATATTTGCTTTTCTTCTATTCCATATCAGATGGCTCTTCTGACATGAGACAGAGATTTTGAATTTTACTTTAACAAGCATGCTTGGGTTTAGAGAAGGAGAGAGCCACACTCCAGCTCCAAAGCCAGTTTTTAATATTTAATTGGACTGGGACTACCAAAGATCATTCATATACATGTCTGTAGGGGAAAAAGGTACAAACATTTGGGAAGATTTGTGAACTTTTACCCTGTGGTAAATGTGATACACAAATAGGCCGATCTGCTCTTTTTCTTGGGACAATTATCCTAGATGATTTATTCTTTTCCTTCAGATGTCTCATTTGTCCAGTCGTCTCCAGATTCATTAGCTGGAGACCTTTCTTTTCCTGGAAAGACAAAGATAAAACCCTTCCCCAACCCTAAATTTTGGAGAGGTTCTCCTTGGCAAGTTATATCTGATCAAATAAAAGCATTTGTTAGTTTTATAGGTTAGTTTAGATTAAATGATCATGCTGCTTGATGAACTATCATCTCTTTTAATTAAGAGGTGTCATGTTTAAATTGAATCTTTATTAATTTTGATGCTATCCATATTTTTTCTGTGGAAACAAAAGCAAAACCTCTCCCCCAATGTAACACGTGTCCTGGTTTCCATTCAGAGGTCAGCACATCTTTGAAGTACACTGACTGGTTTAATTCTCTAGTTTTCTTTATTAGCCAATGTCTCTCTGAAGCTGTTGTTCCTTTCTCATTATCATTCAGAAAATTCAAAGTTAATAAAGCACCGTGCAATCTATTTCTGGGGTTCTTTATCATCCTTTTCTATTTATTTAGCATATCTTTTAGCATTGGATTCAATTTCTATAACTGCCTGCCCTGTGGGATTGTGGAGTATACTGTAATATCCTTATAATAAGCAAGAAACTGTTTCATTTTTTTGTTTTTTCGAGACAGGGTTTCTCTGTGGCTTTGGAGGCTGTCCTGGAACTAGCTCTTGTAGATCAGGCTGGTCTTGAACTCACAGAGATCCACCTGCCTCTGCCTCCCTAGTGTTGGAATTAAAGGCGTGTGCCACCAACGCCTGGCTCAAAACTGTTTCATTTTCTTAGAAACATATGCTGGAGCATTGTCTGTCTTTATTTGTGCAGGTATACCCATAATGGCCATAACGTCTAGCAAATTTGTAATTACCAAATCAGCCTTTTTGGAACTCAAAGCAGTTGCACATTGAAAACCTGAATAGGTATCAATGATGTAGTTAGTGTACATATTTTAATTTAGGTTTGAACGCTTGCTCTTGGACCTCCTGTCTCCAAGACTAATCTGTGTCCTTTAGAGCCAGTCCCTTGCCACTATCTCTGTAGAGTCTTTCTCTTTAATGGCAAAGATGAGTTTGCTGGCTTACTGGAGGCTGTGCCAGCGTCTGAAATCACCTTTCATTTGTTTTCCTCCCATCTTCATATCAAGCACATTCCAGAAAACACGAGGTATGGGTAAGTGGAGTAAGAGCCTCAATCTATGTGGAACGCAATGGGGATTTTCCTTTTAAGCCTGCATAGGAAGCTCAAGTGTCACGTGTGTCTGAGTCAGACCAGCAAAAGACATCAGGAGGCGACAGGAGCTGGAGTCACCGCACCAACCCTACCTAACCCCTCTAGTGAAGAAGATGCCATCTCAAAAGATGACCCCAGGAAGCCCATTTGTGGGGATGGTGACACCCAGTCAGCTCTCATTACACAGATCCAGGACAAGAATGTACACACTCATAAACAAATCAGAGTCCCACACTAAGAAGAAGGGACTGCTCATTCTGTCGCTGCTCAAATGTTTTTGTTTGCTGAGAAGTCAGGCTTTGGGGAGGTTCCCCAGAAAATGCAAAAAAAAAAAAAAGAAAAAAAAAAAAAAAAAACCAAACAAAAAAAAAACAAACCCAAAACCCTGAAATTCTGTGCCATTCGTTTTACAAGATAACCCCTCCCCCGCCAGCCAGCTCCCATTTCTTCTTTCCAGGAGGTATCCCTGGCAGCAAATGCTTAGACACCGGCAAAAGGGTACACGAATTGCCAGATGAACCTTTCCACCCAACCCCAGAGCTTCGCTTTGCATATCTGTTGGGTTACTGCGGGGCGTTGAAACTCAAGCTTTTCTCTGCTACTCCTTGGCACGGAATGTAGCTAGGGCCAAGCTGGGTCCCGAGTATAATAAGGTGGCTGGATGCCTGGGGTGGGAGCAGCGGGTCTGGGTAAGGCTTGGCTTGATGCTGGTGGCACGTGCGTGCGAGAAACAATCTAGAAGCCCTTGGCGATGGGAACTGCTGCTCCCCAGCCGGGTTAGCCTGAGCTACTCAGATGGCCTCGGGAGGGATGAGGTCCTGGGACACAAAAGATGACCCCAGGTTGCCAGGGAGATGGTGAAAGCTGGAGAGAGAGGAGAGGGCTGCTCTGGAGACTTATAGACAAGCGATTTTATTTAAAGTTCGCTCCTCTGGAAGCAGGTTGAGTCCTCATTTTACTCTACTGTGTGGGTTTAGAAAGACATACTTCGTTCAACACACGCGTATATCTAAACCAAATGCCATTTTTTCAGAATGGCACCACTTGCAGCATGTTAACCTAGTATTTAACCTAAAGAAATTGTGAAATACCTTCTGGAGCAGCGGTTCTCAACCTTCCTAATGCTGCGACCCTTTGATACAGTCATTTCCTCATGTTGTGGGGACCCCAGCCATAAAGTTATTTTTGTTGCTGCTTCAGAACTGTACTTTGCCACTGTTATGAAACATTATGGAAGTTTCAGGATAGGTGATGTGCTATCCCGAGGGGTCGCAACCCACGGACTGAGAACCTCTGTTCTGGAGGTTGTTTCACTTTTGGAAAATAGAAATTCCTTTTCCCACTTGGTAGGGGTTTTATGAACAAGCTTCCTGCTATAAAGGGAATTCTGAATGTTTAAATAGTATCACAGGGGCTGGAGAGATGGCTCAGTGGATAAGAGCACTGGCTGTTCTTCCAGAGGACCTGGGTTCAATTCCCAGCACCCACAAGGCAGCTCACAACTGCATAAAACTCCAGTTTCAAGGGGAGCAGACACCTTCACACAAACATACATATGGGCAAAACACAAATGCACAT